ACTCATCCGAAACGGCTGGACCGATTTTCATGAAATTTCGTGTGTATATTAAGCAGGTCTCAGAGAGTGATGTTAACTATTTTTCATACCCTTATGTGTAAAGGGTGGCTCACACCAAACATTTTTTAATATTTAACGTGTACATTTTGTAATAATAATGCGCACCGAGCGTACACTAACGCTATGGTTACAGAATATTAGTATCAATATAACTTTTTCACTATAAAATACGTGCAATTGGCATCAAAAAAACAGAGCATTGTAATATCATTAGGAGTTTTGGTAAGTTTTGATGGAATATTTTTGTTTATAAGCTTAAGTAAATTTTCAAAACATCTGTTGCTTAGGAATGATTATGGGTTTTTTATAAGAGTTAAAAATAAAAATAATAAATAAAAAAATTAATTAAAAAATATTATTATTTTTATTTTAAAAATAAATTACTACGTCATTAGAATTTTTTTTTTTTTTATTCTATTATAACCTAGTATTTTTCGTATACCTACATAACAAACTTAATTTCAATTATAACCAATAATTTAAATTTAAATCAAGATTTCTAAATTCAAATTGAAAATTATAATAATACAACTTTAATTTTATTTTCAACATTACTCTACAAATATTTCTTTAAATTATAAATCTCAATTTTAAAGTTAACTCATTCATAAATACTAATCGATGTGAAAATACCATTGCATTTTGTTTTTATATGATAGGTCACGACTGTAATAAGGCTGTTCTAAGCGAAACGGATTTTCCATTAATTTAGACCAATAAGCTTGAGAAAAATAAACATAAGTACATCTATAGTCGTAAAAATTTAATTTTGAAAATTGTTTTTGAATTTGTTAGCCAACTTATTTATATTTTTTGTAGAAAAAACTTTTTCATATTTTCGTTTCATTGGCATTTTTAAATTTAATTTTTATTTTGAGAAATTAAACCATGTAAATTGACTTTGAGCCGTACTACATAATCTACCTATCCAAATTGTCAAAGAACAAAAGATGAATTCAAATTATTATTCAAAATTAGAATTTGACTACTATTTTTGCAATCTTGTGTTTATTATTCATTGCCGAGTAACTACAAAATATTTTTGAGTGCTATAGCTGACATGTACATATACTGATATACTATAGTAGTATAATGCACGATATTTATTGTAAAGTAGGAAGTTAAAATATTTAATACGTCCAACACGATCATAGAATAGTTTTTATCATATTGATTATTTCTGAAGAGAGCAGTGAATGTAGTATTGGTGTTCGAACACGGACGCGTTTTCACGCCACCGTATAGTTTCGGCGTAGTCCCCAAAGCTGCACCTCGAATGCCGAAGCTCACGAGGTGGCTTACCCCTCCTCGGCCATCCAGCGCCGGGCCGTTCACTGCCGTAGGCTATGCCGCCGGCGTCCGCCGTCAGTTCGTCGTCTTTTTCCAGCGGTCGAGCGAGGCGCAACGCCCCGTCCGCTCGCCGCCGCCACAACCTCGTGTCGTCACGAAATTCGGTGTGTTGTGACCGTGTGCCGTCTTGTACCAAATACCAACTGCAGTAAGTCCCGAGGTAGTCGGGGCCTGACCTATTTTGGCCCGAGTTGCCCGCCGTGCACCAATTATACAATAATTATTATTGTACCACTGTGCCGGTGTTGGTCTTTAAGGTGAAGACGCTGTCGCCTTACCAGCGCCGCGACGTCCCCCGGAGCTTGCAGACCCGGTCTATTGGTTATTATTTAAGTTGATTTATGTAGACAACCTCATATTATGTTGGCAGTTGTCATTATTAATTAATATTATCAGTATTGTAATTGTACGCGTATATTGCCCGGGCGTTTTACGATAAATTATATTAGTATTGTCTTACTGTAAAATATACTTATTGCGCATTGCGCCCATTGAAGATGCATATTACATAAATCTGTATTAGGCCTTATATAATATAACTGGGTAACCTCTTCCCGTCCACAGCATCCCGCTAGTCGTTGCCACAAACCGCGATTTTTTAAAAGTAGGTGCGGCGCGGCGCGGCGCAGACAATTGGTTTTAAAAGATGTGTATTTTTTTTCTGTCTGTTTTCCAATATAAGTTTCCTATAGTTCAACTTCAATATCATTTGAGCTTGGAATGTGAATCCTACTAGTACTTTTGAGAGGTTATTATTGTAAATTCATAATATTAGTTTTCAAAAGTGCCATTATAAATTATTTGTACTTATCTCTTCTAAAAATATATCATGGTTATTAATAAATAATAATATGATAACCTCAGACCTTATAGGCTAAGTAATAATTAACATACATACTTCTGATCAGCCACAGTTCTGTAAGAAAATAGTTTACCGTTGCCATCAAAACAACGTTTTAGGATTGGTTGGTCCAATTTTCAGCACATGCCGTGTCATAGATACCCGGTGTCCAGATTTGTCTTACTAAATACTATGACAATATTTCGAGAAGAGGCCCTTTGAGCTCAGTGGTTTATATTTGTAAATAGTGAATACACGCCTTTCTCAATTTCCCGTCAAAGCCAAAAATAAAAACCCATAAATATGTATAATTTTAAGTTAATAAATAAATGAAATAGACGTACAATTTCAAAAGGAGAGACAAGTCTTCTTACCATTAATTCAAACTTACTTCCTAAACGATAAACATATACATCCCTTGGTAACGTACAGAAAACCATAACAATAACACAACTACAACATTAATCTAAACAATAAAACAATTAACCAACATTAGTTTACTCGTAAGTTCATGATAGAAAAATGCAGTAGAAAAGATAAAATAAATTATTAGTAGTTATTAATTAGTAGTTAAATTGTAAGTACCTAATTCATTAATAGTAAATACTGCAATAGAAATTTGGGTCTAGAAGTCTAAGGGGGGTCTAGGGACCAAAAAAAAATATAGAAACTTCGATTTACTAAGGTAATTAAAAATATGTGAATGAATGATCGGAAAAAAAATAGATATACAGAAACTTCGAAGTATCGAGCTTCCGCTGTATAAATTTATTCTAGTACAATTTAATGTTATCAATTTACCACTTCAACACATGAAATCGGATTACGAAGATTAACGGTTTCCACTGGTTTATACTTCCAACATCCCAAATCTATTAAAAAAAAAACGAAATAAGATCCGATTAAATGAAAATTAATAAGAAAAAGACACGTACTCCAATAATTAAATTGATATTATGTTATCTTGTCCTATCGTGTTGGGAAAGTTCCTTTTAAAAAGGAACTCGTTTCCGTTCCTCGTTCCTGTCGCGAAAAAAGAACGCGTTCCCGTTCCTTTACATATTTTTTACGATTTAAGTAGTGGACGATGGTCAATAGTGTTTTTTTGCGAAACAGTTTTTAAGTTAGAAATAATCGGACCGAGAGAGTTAACCGATTATTTCTGACTTGACATTTTTTCGCTAAAAACACCATTGAAATTGCAAACACCATCACTATTTTCGAAAACACTAGGTAAAACCTATGATAAAATTGGTAAAATTAAAAAGAACAGAAGAGCGCGATTATTTCAGTTTTATAGAAACAGCTTGTACTTACCGGCCTTTCAACACTACATACACGATAGGCAGCATAAACTGTATACACATTCAAATACAGAAAAGAATAATCAAGCTTGAACATAATTCATATTGTTATCAAAATATAATATTACATATTAAGTAGGTATTATAATCATAAGACATACAATAACTGTTTACTTGTTGGTAAAGGTTTAATTAATTTTTAATTTAATAATTATATTTTATTTTGAATTAATATCATATTAAAATACCTAATAATTCATTGATATTTTGCAGCTATATCACAACCTAACAATAGCAGAATTATTTCATATGTTCTTATCGTGCTAGTGATTAATACTTATTATACAAAATATTAATTAAATTAAACAATTTTTTAAATTGTAAGATTGAAAAAGTAGATTTAAAAAAGGCTGTTAAATTTTTTCTTTGATTCTATACAATGCTATCTTTAAAAATTATTTTCATGCTCCCTTGATTCAGAAAATTCAAATTTTATTCTGAATTTTTCAACATTTTTAAGTAATTTTTTCATATATTAGGTTATTTTTTGTAGTTTTTGTAGAACATGGGGCCATTTTTCTTAAATTTTAGATTTTAAAGAAAATTTGTGTAATATTCAAAAAAATAATTTTGTTATTATAACTGTAGGGGTTTGGCTATCAAATTTATTGCGCCTCGATAAGATTTACCGTTATAGCATTATACCTATATTTATATAACAAGTGCTCTTTCAGACATACCCTGATCATACACTTTCGTGGAGTATTATATTTATAAATTGTCGGATACATTTTAATTGTACAGAGCAATTTGAATATTAATGCATTTTTTTAATACAATTTAATATAATGCTTAAAATTTAAATTTATACTATTTTCAATTAATATTACAATTCATATTTCAAATTACCCTGACACCCATACCTCTAATAATAATTATTAGTTTTAAATAAAACTTTTTCACTTGTTCATGTAAAGTTTTTGGAGTTTATAGGTCATCAACATCCTACTTCACTGATGATCCTCTAAGTTTCTCTTTTTTTTTTTTTTTCATTAGCATATGTTTTTGCTCCAACTTCTATCGCGTCTAGTGTTAACTACTGGTTCGGATATAGTTGCTACTAGATGCTGTACTGTTCCATTTCCATGGTTTAACAGTGCAGAAAAAAAGTTCCTTAACATATTTCATCATAAATAATAATATAACCATTATTCAAATCAAATTGAATAACAAATTAAATTAAAAGTTGTAGTAGTAATTAGTAACCATAAATGAGTATGAATAACTAACAAAATTCTATTTCATATTTTGTGTATAAACATATATATTTTATAATTAAAACATAATTTATTACATATTTCCTAAATAAAAATACACTTTAATATTATAAACAAATAGTATTGTATGGTGTTACAGTTTAGTGACATTTTCATTACTAACTAGACTAACTTATTTAGTTAACAATGTATTTCTATTTTCTTATATACTAAATTATAAACATTTTTAATGTATACTTCTTACACATTGTATTCAACGTCCATGTAAGAATTGTCAGTGAAATAAGTATCATAATTATTCTCCAAAAACCTAAAAAACCAAATATATTTTTAATGAAGATATTATATTTACTGTCATAATTAAATACAAAAGGAATGACGATGTTTGAACTGTATTACTAACTAATAACTAGAACTCAGATGTTTAATGACCTAAATTTCAACAATATAATAGATGCATTTAAAAATGTCAAAATATGCAATTTTATGACTTAAATTATATATTAAAATTATAAACTTTGGTTGTTTTACTAAACTTTTTATATTTCTTTGGATGCATGATTTTAGTTTATTTTACTCATAATAACAGACTTAAAAATACTTAAAACATTAAGTAAATATATGAATGAAGGACTCATCAAATTCAAAAGAATGATATTTGCAAAAACCAAGATTGTATGCAGAGAAAAACAATACTAACTTATTTAGACAAAAATTCTGAAATTGTAAATCAGAAAAGAAGATGGCTCAAAAATAATAAAAATTTAATCTAAATTTGATATTGATAAATTGTAATTACAAATAATATAAGGGAACTTCTTTTTGAATATAATTGTGTCTAACAATTCAGTACACCACTTGAAATTTCACATGGTGTTCCACAAGGCATTGTTCTTGGCTCTCTTCTGTTCATATAAAATAGGGTCTATTAAATATTGGTGTTAATGCAGAAATAATTTGTTAAGCTGATGATACTGCTATTTTAATTTAAAGTGAAAAAATAAAGACATTTTATATAGATAAAATTATATTATTAATGATATTAAAGATTGGTTTAATAATAATTTACTATAATTTAAAATAAATCTAAATATATTAACTTTAATTGCGTTATTCTTGAAAATACAAATAATGTTAAGTATTTAGGTTTCACTTAAAAAATTGACTTATCATATAAATAACCTTAAAAATACTATTATAACATTTTTTTATGTTTGTTATGATCTACAAAACATATTTGATATTAATATGGAACATACAATTTACTTAGCTTTAGATCCATCAATTGTGTATTGTATTGTATTTTGAATACAAGCTATATGACTTATGAGTCTCATATGCATTCTTAAATTATTATTTTAAACAATGTAATTCAATTTATAATAAATATACCTAAGATCACTAACAAACATTTTATATACAATGTGTTTAATTTACTTAATGTTAAGAGTTTGTTTTATAGAAATGTATTGTTATCCTTTTAAACATTTAGAACTAACAATGTTACTAATCATATTTAAAATAAAGGTTACAAACCTAATATTAATTTAAATGTAACTTAGTTACATAGAAATGTTGGCATGAAAAGTTCTGTTTCAGAGGCAATCTAACTATGTAGAATACTTTGAATTAACATCGATAATTCTAATAATATAATTACCTTGAAATTATATTTCAATAATGTTGATCTAGTAACCTGTCATATCCGCGAATCCAAAAAAGCGAATGTCAAAATAGCTAAAAGCCATAATAGTGAATGTTCAAAACAGCCAGAGTAATTATTTTTAAATGATAACTCTTATTATTTTATCTATAGTAATAGTATTATAGAGAGATAATGATAATGAGTTTTATAGCTGGGTTATCCAACATTACTGTATGGTCGGACAGCGACAGCGACAGTGTATGTTTAACCGATCAGTATCGCAGTTGCATACTTCGTATATTATATAGTTTCACATATGTCATTTAAAAATATTGAATATCTAATTTCACAAAAAAATAAACCACTCGTAAAATACAATGGGTTTTTGTATCGGAAGGATTGTGAAAACAGCAAAGTTTCATACTGGAGATGTGAGGAAGTTGAAAAATGTCGTGGCAGAATTAACTTAAAAAATGATTTGGTTATTACAGATTCTTCATTCAAACATATACATGTCCACAATTCAGCTAAAATTGAAGTCAAAACTTTAACTGAAGTAATGAAAAAAAGTGCTTTAACTACTCAACACAATTCAAGTAAAATTATTAATGATATTGTAATAACAGTCTCATCAAATGTAATTCAAGGCAATCTCACAAGTGTATCAAATCTTAAAAGAATTATTCAGTGAACTAGGCAACGTAATCAACGCTCTCCGCCTAATCCACTAACTTTGAAAGATTTAGGAGAAATACCAAACATGTATAAACAAACAAACATTGGAAGTAAGTTTTTGTTGTTTGATAATTACCAAATTAACGGTCTTACAAAGAATAGAATTTTAATATTTTATACAAGTGAAGGATTAAATTTAATGTCTGAATCTGAACATTTGTTTGCCGACAGTATTTAAGAGCGCTCCTTCTATATTTACACAAATATACACAATTCAAGTATTGAAATATAATACTGAAATACCAGTAGTTTTTGCATTATTACCTGATAAAAGTAGTGCAACATATTCTTATTTAATCAAAATACTATAATCGCATACACCATTAAATCCTAAAACTATTATAACTGACTTTGAACAAAGTGCAATATTGGCATTTAAGGAAAATTTTCAAAATATAATTTCTCGTGGTAGCCAATTTCACTTAAGTCAATGTGTATGACAAAAAATACAATTAATACCCACAATGCATGAAAAATATCTAACTGATGCAGAATTATGTATTCAATGCGATTGTTACCAGCTTTTGCTTATGTACCAGTACCTGATGTACTAGCAAGTTTCGAGCACTAATGTGAAATGATTATTACATAGAACACAAAGAATTTTTTCAACCACTATTGGACTACTTTGAAGATACTTGGTTTGGAAAGACTGAGCGCAAACGACGTAGAGGTCCAACATTTCCTTTGGAAATGTAGAATTGTTATGACCGGATAGATTTGCAAAGACTAATAATTCTGTCAAGGGTAATTCATTTTTATGAATAAATATATCTAAAATATATTAAGTATGTTTAATAGATTTTTACATATTATTTAAGCATAGCCTATAATTTATCACTACAGGTATAAATTATAAATATAATATAATATCTTTTATCTTTTTTTAAAACTTTTTTTATATTTAATTTGAAGAATGACTATGTTTGACTTATAATATTAATAATTTTGAAATAATATACTTTTTAGATACCTAATATATTTTTATTTTTTATATTAAATTATCTTAAAATAATATACTTTAGCTGTTTTGAACATTTGTAATTATATTTTATACTTAGCTATTTTTCCGTCGCTGTTTTGACATTCGCTTTTTGGACTCGCAGTTATGATGGGTTACCAGATCAACATTATTGAAATATGAACGTTAACAAATATAATACATAATTAGAATTTTTATTTTTTATTGTCACCAGCTGAATTCAAATTAATACTCCTCAACATAAGCTATGCTTATAGGGGACTTTCCAATCTTTATTACTTTATTTTATACTTCACAACTATACATGATTCTTATTTCTTGATTTGCAAATAATAAATTACTATTATTATTATTATCATTCAAAAAAGTAACAGTATTTGATAGAATGAAAAATCTAAAAATGATAACTTACCGGTATAATCCTTCAATATGAAGAACGAAAGTATTTAAATCACATTCAAGAAGCGACGAGTTTGACATCAAAATGAATGGTAAATGAGCTGATAAATAAATAAAATGTTTTGTGAAATATTTTCATTAAATTTATTCAATGTTATGTAAGAACAGATTTTGATTAGCATATGATAAGATAAATCGATAAATATTTCTATGGTTAAGGCATTTTATTTACATCTAATCATTATTTTTCATTAAAAGGCAAGGAATCTACGAACAAAATTTTTAGTTTAAGCTAAATTTATTAAATAGAATCAATATTTAAGTTCCTATATGTATAAATGTAACATTTTAGGCATAGTGTGCTTCTATTTCATGAGTAATGATATATGTACATGATATATGTAATATAACCAACTTTTATAAAGTAATAAAAATTCCTATATAACATGGGAGGCCAATGATGAGTTTCAAACCGCAAAATTATAATGAAAAATAATATGAAGAGCAGAAAACGGAATAATATTTATTATTATATAACTAAAAATGTTAAGACAAGGACCACACTTTAGCAATCCCTGCCATAAAAGCCCTTAAGAATTAATATAAAATAATGTATTTGTGTTTGATACATACCAAGAAATCTCAACAGATATAAGGGACCATACAGATAACACCAAATTGTATTTCGACATAGATTTTTTTTGAAGAAATAGGTGATATTTGGTTGATTTTTCCTTCTTTGCTGAAAATATTGAATGCCCTTAAACAGACAATGTACATACATAACTATTATAAAAAATTGCTTATTCATTTATTTCAAGAAGTTAAATAAGTTCAAGATAAATATAGAACAAAACTCTAGTAATTAATATTTAATATTGCAGCAAGGCAAATTATATTCTCCGATAATATAACTGATGACTACTTCCACTCCGAGCAATAAGATTGTGATGGGATTTGCAATCAATGTAGTAACGATTAAGTTTTATATTTCTCTTTCAATGTAATTTTATTGAATATTACATGATTGTGTATAGATTTATAATACAGTAAAAAAAGCTTATCCAACATTTTTATTTACAAGTAAATGAGAACTTTTATTAAGAATAGCATCATACATTACCAGATGAATTTAAGACTCCCATT